GCAGAGGATTGTGCAGATTCAGCTAAAAGTCGAATACACTTTCATGTGATGGGCACAAAGTGGAAAATACCTACCCTAATCTAATGGAGAACACAGTCTAATGGAGAACAGATGTAAAAAAGTAAGATAACCTAGGAAGTGCCAAGTAATCTTAAGGACATTTTGATTTCAGGACATTTTAGTGAAATAGAAATTTTGTGGAGTCAAAAGTTTTCAGAAAACAGGAAAAAGTGCTTTGTAAGGTATACGGCCTTGAAGAGGTATTAGATTTAGATTAGTAGGGAAGATCCTCAGTGGAAAAAGTCAACATGAGCCAAGTCATGTAGGTAGAATTGAGCATGAAGTGTGTGGAATGATAATGAAACCAGCCTGGCTGGAATTGAAGAATGTGAATTGGAAGTATTAAGTTGAGTAAGTGTGAGTGGGAATATGAAAGCCGAGCTGTATTCAGTAAAACAGGTAATGGTTAAAAGCAGAACTATGTCATGATGAAAGCACTATTTAGTCTGGCAAGTGAGTGGCGCTAAGAGATTATATTGTTAAAGGAACCAAGTTAATAATGATATTAATAACAGCATTTATTTATTTATTTATTTATTTTTATTTTAAAAATACATCTTTATTGATTTCAGAGAGAGGAAAGGAGAGGGAGAGAAAGAGAGAGATAGAAACATCAATGATGAGAGAGTCACTGATCGGCTGCAGCCCACAACCCAGGCATGTGCCCTGACCGGGAATCGATCCCTGATCGCCTGGATCCTAGGTCAACGCTTAACCACTGAGCCACGCCTGGCCGGGCAATAACAGCATTTATTGAGTTCCTGTGTTTGCTAGGCACTGTGCTAAGCTTTTTAAGTCTATTACCTCAGTCTGTCAGTTAGCTTTCACAGAGTAAGATACCCAAAAACTGGGTTACCCAATTCTGGAGACTGGTTGCACAACAATGTGAATGTATTTAACAGTACTAAACTGCACACGTAAAACATGTTTAAGATAGTAAATTTTATATTATGTATATTTACCACAATTCACCAAAACAAAACTGACTTAAAATAACAACTGTAATTGAGTTCACAATTCTCTAGGAAATCTGGGGAGTTCTCTTGGTCTGGAACAGCTTGGTTGATTTCTACTGGGTTTGCTCAGCTGACCCATTTGGCTTGTGGCTGGACAATCCAGTGGTTAGCAGACTGCAGGCTGGAGTGTCAAAGGGAAACTGGGCCATATGCCGCATCATCCAGCAGGCTAGCCCCAGGGTTCTTTACATGGCGACTGGAAGAGCACAAAGCCCAGTGTGCATGCACTTTTCGAGCCTCTGCTTGAGTCACATTTGCTACTTGTTGGCCAAAAAATCACAAGGGGAGCCCAGAGGAGATGGAGAAAGATCCCATCTTCTAATTGAGAGCCACAAAATTTTGTGGCCATTTTATAACTTACCACACCTAGTCAATTGTGACAACAACCGTAAAGAGAGTCTTATTATTACTGCCATTTTATAGATTAGGAAATGGTGGCACAAAGTAATTAACTTGTGGAGTCACACTGCTCCTAAGTGGTGTTTCCAGATGCCAACTGAGGCTTGTGTGAAGACCTCCACATTTCTTGTTTGGAGGCCCCGCAGGTGGGATAAAGAGCATAGGCTTTGACTGGTCCCAGATAGCTGATCAGATGCCAGTGCTGTCATACGTGCTCCCAGCATATACCAGGCACTCAACGATTCCTAGTTGCTTTTTTCCCTTTTCAGTTCTGCTGTGTATTAGCTTTCTTCTTTCCTTTCTCCCTCCCTTCAACAAATAGGTGAACACCAATTGCATGCCAGATACTGTTCTAGGTGCTGGCGATAACAACAGTGAACAAGATAGGTGATGACCTTTCTTTTATGAACCTTACATTCTAGTGGAAGAGAGAATGAGAAAAAAATATATATATATACAATATTTCAGGTGGAGATAAGTACTACAAAGAAAAATAATAGGGTGAGGAATATGAGTGTCTGAAGTCAGGGGACACAGTTCATAGGATTGAGATTTGGGTCCAGAGACTGTCTCATTTTCCTTTCTATAAAGTGAGACTTGAGGAAAATGGTGGCATTGGTTACATCTAGAGAGGGGAATGGGTGGCCATGATAAAGGGGTTGGAGAAAAACTTTTTCACAGTATCATCTTTTGAATTTTTTAGACACTTGGGCTAATCCTGCTTCTGTACAACATTACTTGTTTTGTTAGTTGCTATTTTTCTCAGCCCTTTTTAACCCCCGTGAGCCATTAAAAAAAATAGTTGAATGTATCTCTAATTAGAGGAAACAGGAAAAACCATTTTCCTTCATTTAATATCTTAGTTTCTCTCTTAAATAACAGAAGCTGGGGAAAGAAATTTACACTTACCAGATATTGAGGGCTGATTATTTCTATCACAGAAGGAGTTGGCTATAGGAATTCAGGATTTGGTAAACTTGATTTATACTGAATTTTTAGGGACGTATCAGTAAATCTAGGGGCATACTGCCACCTGCAAGTTGTGACTTCACTCTGAGGCACATAATGGAAAAAGCAGGTGTTTTGTGAACATGCAGTCTGGCTTTATCAAGCTTGAATCCCATTATTTAGACTAATATCTTAAGTCTGTTAAGTCTAAATCTTGACTCAATTAGCTAAATAACTTTTGGTAATTTAACCTCTGAGCAAGCTTGTTTATCTGCAAAACCAGATCACAGTCCCTTAACCACATTTCCCAACTACAAAATGATCTGAAGCTTAGAGTTTTTTCATAAGTCTGGCTCAAGGTAATTTCGTAGCAAAAAACCCCAAACACACACACACATACACACACCAAAAACCGTCCTCTGAATTGAAGTGACCCTGTTCAGTATAAATATTCAAATGTTTTGCTGGAGAAATGTTAAGATCATTTATAGGCTGCTACTCCACAATGACTGGGGCTGTATATTCATTTTACTGCCTGTTTTCTAAAACACAAACAGTTCTGAATTTGGCTATACATCTGGCCGTGATGATGTCAGGTGGATTGTAGGTCTGTAACACCTTCCTTAAAGGGCTTTTTTCAGGATTAAACAGGTACAGCAGATTGAGGACTTGCAGTCATGTTTGTATTGTGCTTGGCATGTAGTAGCTGTCCAATAAATGGTAGTTATTAATCTTGTTACATAAATTCAGTTCTCAAGTTTGTGGGTCTTCCCCCCCCCTTCTGAGGGAACCTGTATTACCTAAAGTCTTAATGGAAGACTGTGGGGAGGGTTGGTAGCTGTTCATTCACTTGTGGAACTGTTTTTCAGCTTGAGTGCCCCAGTCCTAGGAGTTCCGTCTTGTACTTCTGGCCACCTCACACTCTTCCCCTAAATGCCCTCATCCCTGTTTGCTCTCACTTGAGAGTTCTTGGGAGTGCACTTAATCTCAGCAGTGGTAAACATCAGAGGCTCTAGGACAGGCAGCAGGAGCTTTAGTCCCCAACTTAAGGGAATCAAGCAGTGAAATTTTTAGTGACTTCCAGTGTGTTTTCCAGTGTTTTTAATAGTATCTTTGTAATTTGAGGAAATTGATTGTTATAGGGTGAGGTACTGAAACAAATGATGGGGGAAGGAGATAGAGATGTGCTTTTTTTTTTTTAATCCTCACCTGAGGATATTTTTTTCCATTGCTTTTCACAGAGTGGAAGGGGGAGAGAGAGAAAAAAAAAAAACATTGATGTGAGAGAGAGAGACATCGATTAGGTGCCTTCTGAACACTCTGACCGGAGCCAGGGATCAATCCTGCAACTGAGGTATGTGCCCTTGGCCGGAATGGAACCCTTAACCCTTCAGTCCACACGCCAGCACTCTTGCCACTGAGCCAGACCGGCTAGGGGGGATGTGTTTTATTGACCTTGATCCCCTATTGAGAGTGGAGGGGGTGTGTTGGAAAGGAGGGGTAGTGTGTTCTATAAGAGTGTTGCTCTTAAGGACCAGTGTGGCTGCACTATTGAGTTTATTGAAACTCGTGCTTAGATGTCAGCCCCAACCTATTAGATTTAGCTGAGGATTAAACATTTGGCAATGCAGAAGGGAATCGATGCAGCCTGATAACAGCAGTTTACGGAAGAGCTGGCACACAGCTTAGTAAATAGCTTTTTCCTTTTATTTTACTGTGAAGTCTTGGGAAGGAGTTTGTGAACGTATTTATTAATCAAACCTTCGCTGAGTATTTGATTTTACTAATATAAGGTGCTCAGTATATATTTTTACTGATTATTTTTAATATTTTTATTGAACATAGCAATAAAATGAAATTCTCCTGATTGTGTGATTTCATTTATTTTCATCAGCCTCAGATAGTGAGGCTGATCAGATACTTGGGTTTGGGGAGTCTGGACCAAGCAGTTTAGCAGGATTTTTGACAAAATTGGGCAATGCAAAGATAGACACACAAGTGCAAAAGTGGAGGATTCAAGGGAGCCTAACTGAAGTTTGATCTAGGAGAGATGCTGTCGGGGGTGGGTGGGAAGCATGCTTCTTAAAAGTGGACTGTGGCCTGGCCCGGCGTGGCTCAGCTGTTCAGCATCCACCTAAGATCCTGAAGATTCCCGGTGGGGGCATATGCCCCAGCTGCGGGCTCCATCCCCAGTCGAGGTGTGCAGGAGGCAGCTGATCAGTGTTGACTCTCTCTCTTGCTCTCGCTCTGAAATCAATAAAGATATTTTTTAAAAAAAAGTGGACTGTGTTCCGTTTGCAGCCTGTGGGTCCTGGGGAGGGGAAGATTGAGGAAGGTGCTGGTGGGCGGCTAAGCGGTTGGTTGCAAACCTGGTGCAGCGGGGTGGAGCCCACTCTGGGAGCGCTGCGGGGCTCACGTGTGGGGTGGGCACCAGCTCCCAGCTCCCAGCTCGGCTGGCCCCCGGCCTATTGGGGCGGAGGGAGAGCCCGCCCCGCCCCGCCCCGCCCCCTTGGTGGGTGCCTCCCAGCTCAGCTCGGGTCTATGGAGAAAAAACTTGGCGCTGGCTCCACGATTCTCATGGCCGCCGCCGCCTGCGGCACCAAGGCTATGTGCCTCTTCAAGCGGACCTTGGTGCTGAGCCCCGCCGCGGCGCCCAAGGGCACCCGCACCCCCTCGCGCTGCTGTCCCTTGCCTCCCAAGGACTGGCCACGGGGAGAGGGCGTGTGCTTTCGGCTACGGCGCCCCGCAGCTGCGGGCCGCGGGCCCCCGTCTCACTCGTGCTCCTCCGCCGCTGCTACCTCCCTGTGTGCTCTCTGCCCGCAGGACTCGCTCAGCAGCAGCTTGAGAACTTGCTACAAGCATCTGCACCAGACCAGTCGCAGTTTCGCAGCTGTTATCCAGGCGCTGGATGAAGAAATGCGGTGAGTAGTGGGGGCAGCTCCTTTAGACAGAGGAGGGTTTTCCAGAGGGCTTCGAGTCACTCCTAGCAACTTTTTGACATCTCCCCTGGCATTGCACTCTGGTTGGTTAAACAGAATGTGTACCACTTGAGTAAAAATGTTTCCTGTTGAAACTCCCATGTAGTTATTTACTTTAGACCGCCCTTCCAGGCACTTCGCCATGTAATACTGTTCCTGCAGGCCCAGCTCGCTCAAGGAAGGGGGGTGGGGGGGTGTTTATTAACTTTTTTTTAGCTCTGGCTGGGGAACCTGTCTCTGAGCAGGTCATGCATTTTTCTTGGCTTTACTTATGCTCTTTTATATTTCTAGTATACCGGGTTAATTCTTCTCAAGTTGCCTCTGTGCAGATTACATACATACGTGAATTTAGACCTTTTAGGTATGATAATAATTATGCTGAGAAGTTGTGCCCTTTAACTTTTTTTTAAATCTGAAAAATATTAGTTCCATCTAAACATTTGGTCTGTTGTCCTTTGTACAGTTTTTCACATTAGTTAATCATAACTCATTCTGGGAGTAGTAGTCACATCAATTAGGTTTATTTTGTTTTTTTAATAAATAACAGAAGTCTATTTCTGTCATCTAAGAGAGGAAAACTAAGATATCTCAGGTATGGAAGGTTTTGGATATTCTTTCATACTTCTGCAGAGTTAAGGGTTTAGAAAATGGCCTGGCATAAATGAGATGTTATTTTAAAATAAATATCTTTGGGAGTTTGTTTCAGTATATTAATAGTTCTTTTTTTACAGCCATGCAGTATGCATATTTTATCTGGTTCTCCGAGCTCTGGACACTCTGGAAGATGACATGACAATCAGTATAGAAAAAAAGCTTCCACTGTTACACAACTTTCACTCTTACCTTTATGAACCTGACTGGCGGTACATGGAAAGCAAGGAGAAGGATCGACAAGTGCTAGAGGATTTCCCAACGGTAGTGGAATTCCAAATCTCTTCTGCATATAGTTGTGTTTATAATTGATGGTGTAATGTTAGGTAGCCTGTGTACCTGTAGAGAACGATTAAATAAGCAGCCAGAAGGCAGCATAATATAATGTGATTGTTAAGCCAGACTACCTGGGTTAGAATCCCAACTCTCCCTCTTATTAACTGGTGCTTAGTTATGTAGCCTATCTGGGCCTCAGTTTTTTTCATCTGTGGCAGAGAGATAATAATAGTATCTCCTTCATAGTGTTGTTGTGAAGATTAAAAGAGTTAATATTGATAAAGCTCTTAGAATGGTGTTAGCTACTATTATTATTGGTATAGTGTTTGGAAGTCCCATGTCTACTCCTGTGGAAAGATGCATTCAAGTTCCAGTGACGTAAAAGATGGAATCTCAAGCTAGCCCACAAAACCTGTTGCCTGTAAAGCAGCCTAAGTATGTAGCACTGCTGGTTTCTTGGGTACCCTAACCCAGTAGCATGGATGTGCTGCTCACGATGGGTAGCAGCTGTGCTATAGGGAGCAGGCTCTCAGCAGCTGGGGCGAGGACTGAGAAGCAGGATCACCTTCTTTGGCTTATAGCTGTGTGATGCTGCACAAGTTCCTTAACTTCTTGGTGTCTCAGATTGCTCATTTGTAAAGTTAGAGCTGTGAGGATTGAATAAGTTCATATGTGTAAAGTAATTAGAGTAGTGCCTGGAAATATTAGGTGTTTATACATATTGAGTATTCTGGAAATATGAGGTGTTCAGTCCATTCTGTTGGAGTAATGTGGGTTATAATTAAAATCTTGAGCTTTAGAAAATCCCACAAGTTTATGTAATACATGTGACTAGGTTCTACTTTTCTGGAATTTGTGTGTCTTATCACACAAATAAGTTATTTTTTTCATATCTTATAAATAAAGTTTTGATTTAGCAAAGTCTCATGTTCCCTATAGCCCAAAGAAGCCCTTCGGTATGTACATAGTTGCCAGAATTTTTAGGGAAGAATAGTTCTTATGTGGCTTTTGCTCTCAAAACAAGTCTTTATTCTTGAGTGGAAAGGGAAAGAATCCACCAATTACAAAAGGATGCTTGAGAAAGACTCCTTTGGAGCAAGGGTATTTCAGATTACTGAGATCATGTCTTCAGTGTCACAGCCAAAAATACTATACAATACAAACCAACAAAGAGTTTGTGAAGAATTATTAGGAAGAGTTGATACAGTACAATACAGTACAAAAGAAGAAAGGAAAAGAATCTGGGAAACATAATTAGGTGAGAAATCAGAGCTCACACTTCTCTCTGCTATACTAGTGGACTCACCCTGGCATCCTTCCTTCGTGCCCTTGGAATCACCCCCAAGGACCTGGAAATCTATAGTAGTTGTGAAACAGAATCACCTGGAGGGCTAAACAATAGGTCTCCCTGGCTCACTTCATTGGGCAGAACTTATTATTATTAGAGAATACGTGAAATGGGCACAGAGTTTGGAACGAGTCAGCAGTGCTCTCTACTTCCCTCAGGTTTCTGGGAAAACACAGGACTCTTCATTGCCACTCTTCCCTAGATATTTTTTGTTTCATTTTTGAAATTTATATAATTTATATAATTATGTTACAATTGCAAAGAGTTGTTGGAGGGGGATGGTTCAAATTCAGCAGTGAAATGTTTATTTTGGAGTGTTTGTTTTTAAGTCTAAGCTGCTCCTCCTCCCCTGCCCCACTGACCTTTCCTCTTTTATAAATAGAACTGACCTAGCCAAGGGTCTGTTGAAAGAATGGGTCTTAGGGATCCCAATAACCTTTGGTAGACGTGCTCACTTGTTTAGCCCACAACAGGAATTACCTTTGGCTTTGCTTGGAACAGCTGTTCTGGAAAGAAGAAAGTTCTGGAGAGATTGGGTTGATTTTATGGATTTTGGGGGGTTTAGCGGTTGTTCATAGAGTAACCCTCAAGTATCTTAGGTTTCTGAATCCCTTTGGTGCCCTGCAACCAGCTGGTTTTCTCTCAGGTCCTTAAATGTAGGCATTTCCTGAGGAAGTTTTTCTAACCTTTCTGTAAACACAGACCAGGTATTTCTCACACTTTTGATGCATATCAAAGTCTATTCACTGTTTTCAGTATTGCGTGTTGTATCTAATAATATTTTATAGCATTTTATTTAAGAAATTTCATGGTGTTTTTATATTGTATTTGATAACCTATATACACTTATTTGAACTTAATATATTTGTACAGTAGCAATGAATTTTAAAAGCATCAATAGTACTTTTCTACATTAGAGCTTGGGCTATGGGAAAAAAATGTTGGGTAGCTTACCTCAGAATGAACTAAATTGAGTTGTGTAAAGAGTTAAAAAGTATGGCCTTACAGTGGGGGAGACATTGTAGCTTCGTGATAAAAATTTGGTAACTGATGATAGAAAATGGTTGGCTGATTGCTAGAATATAAGCTCTGCAGGAGCATGGGTTTCTGGTAGTTTCTGGCTGTGTATCCTGTGTCTAGACAATGCTTATTACATAGGAGCACAAATGAATGCCCACTATTATGGGGTTTGTCTGAAATGAGGCATTCTTCCTAAAATTCTTACATTTATGCCGTTTTATCTTGAAGCATCTCATTTATTATATATTAGATGAGTGTATGGTGAGACTTTTAATCTTATTTTGAGTCTAGAAACTAGCATTTTAGACCTTTATATTTTAATATTTATAAAATTTGCTGAGTTTATTATTCAGCATGTAGAAAACTAGCCTGATCTAGATGTTATGCTTATAGATGAGTCTTAATTAACAAGTTCTATTGCTTTGCTTTATGACCTGTAGGTACCATGTTGGTTCCCAGTGTAAATACTTATTTTCTGTTTTTTATATCTCCATTTCAGATCTCCCTTGAGTTTAGAAATCTGGCTGTGAAGTATCAAACAGTGATTGTCGACATTTGCCGGAAAATGGGATTTGGGATGGCAGAGTTTTTGGATAAGCACGTGACGTCCGAAGAGGAGTGGGACAAGGTTGGTGTTCCTATAAAGCATAAGACAGAGCTGGCAGTCCTCATTGTGAAGTTCAGAAGGAGGAAAAGTTGTCCACCAGTTTCAGGTTTTCTGGTTTTACAACTTTATCTGTTTATTTTTTTAAAATTTATTTATTGATTTTAGAACTAGAGGAAGTATTTATACATTCCTTGGTTGATTCCTGCATGTGCCCTGACCAGGGATTGAACCCATAACCTTGGTGCATCAGGACAGTGCTCTAACCAACTGAGCGACCCTGCCAGGGGCACAACCCATCTGTTTAGCTTGACTGTCTCATCATAATACTTAATAAGGGTTTATAGTTTAATACTTGAAATAATTCATGCTGTAAAGAGTTTACCATTAAATTAGGCCAAAGTAGATACAACTCATCCCAGAGGTACAGATATTAAGCTTATAAAAGTGTCTGTGACTTGCTGTGAAATTTTAGGTAAATGGTCAAAGTACTCATGTAGTAGAGATATTAGTTTTCAGAACTTGAAAATGTATTATTTGTTATTTTCTTGTTTTTCCATTGCCGAGTGCATGTGTGTACAACTTAGTATCTGAGTCATTTCCAGTTCCATCTTAATACAAGATTACTTTTAAATTGTTAAATTATGTGTCTGTTTCCTTGGAAACAAAAGTAGTTTATGAAAACCCATACTTTGGATTATAGGTGTAATATGCTGAGGGGTGAGCATCTCTCTAATACTTTTCCTTTCCCATCATCTCCTTACAGAAATAAGACAATATGAGATGTTCCAAGTTTCTTGACACCCCTATCCCCCAATTTGTACTGTGGTTATAAACAAATATGTGTGGGAATGGCTTTTATTTGGCCAGAGTTTCTTCCTGACCAGCAGCTCTGAAGGATATTAACCAGGGTAGGAGTTAGGGGGCCGGAAGAGTGCTCATCTAGACAAAGTGACCTAATTGACTATGGGGACTAAACTAAATATCAAAATACAAGATAGGAGGGAGCTTGCCCATTTTTCATAGGAATGAGGCTTGTGAGACTTAATTCATCACTGCTGTGGAAGCAAAGACGTTTTAAACATCTAAACTGTGTACATATCGTATATCTTTAATAGTGTTTGGGTTAGGATCACTAGAGACACTACTACATATTCATTGAGTGAGTGCAAGTCCAAGGTCTGGCCTCTTAATTTTTCAAGCTTCAGAACTCGATGGCAACATCTTTGGAACTGTTGGTCAGTGCTCCCCAAGTTAGCATGTGTGTGATTGCTGCTAGAATATCAGTTTATAAATTTAAAGTTAAAGCTAAAAGTCCTGGCCAAGAACCAGCACTGGCTATTTGCGCAGTAACTTCTTTTTCTGCTGTGCAGATCTGTCAGGAAACTTATAGGTTGTTGAATAGAAGTTCTGATCAGATAAAGTTGAGTACTTTAAAAGATTTTATTTTTCTTACAACTTTGGAGAAAGATGAATGCCTCCATTCTAGGAATATTTCTATCCAAAGCACTATTACCTTAAAATAAAATATACTTCTTCTTGGACACACTATGAGTGTAACTAATGTTTTTAATTTTTAATAATTCTTTTAAAATTTCATGTTGTTGTCCATAGCTCATTTCTTGCACTCTAATTTCTGCATATCTTTACTCTTTCCAGAGTCTTCCTCTCCTGGAACATGTCTCAAGTGCTTTCTCCTCACCATTTCAGTGTGCCCTTGACTAGTCTCTGGCTTTATATTTCTTTAAACCAGAGACACTTGACTCTTTGTATAACTCGTCCCCAGAGGGTACCTTCTTTAACTGCTCTTCACTTCTTAAATTGTCTAATGGACATTCATTTTATAAAAATGTTGCATTAAGCTGCTTTGGAATACTCTTTTTCAGGGGAGGATAGCTTTGACAAACCATTTTTATGGAAAAAAATTCTTTGACAATTATTCGTTTACTAAGATCCCTTAGAGAATGGCAGTTTTAGCAAAGTTGTTAAGCCTGCCTCTTAAGCCAGATTACCTGGCTTTGAACCCTTGGCCTCTGACTTCCCAGATGAGTGATCTTGGGCAGATTAATCAACTTCTCTGTCTGAGTTTCCACATCTGTAAAAGAGTGATAATATAGTATGTACTGCATATGGTGTTTGTGAGGATTGTATACGCAGGATGGGACAAAAGTAGGTTTACAGTTGTTCATATGGAAAATAATACAATAATTAATAAATAATACTACTTTGTGTTTTGGGTACTCACAACTGTAAACCCACTTTTGCCCCACTCTGTACAGAGTGCTTAAAACAGTGTCAAGAACATCCTGGTAATACTTTGTTTTTCTATATAATGAGCATTTTGAGATACTGCAAGATCTTGAAATAATGTCTTCAAGATTAAACTCAGTATTCTAATTTCTATTAGAATATATTTTAGTTCCTCATTGCCTCACTCCCACTCTTGGATATCAAAAAGTTTACTAGTTTATTTCTTAAATAGCCTTTTATTCTAGAAACAGTGCATGTGCATTGCAGAAATATAGAAAATGCAAGTAAAAACAAAACAAAATATCACACCAGCTGGAGATCACTTTTGTTAAATCTTTTGTGAACATCCTTCTTGGATGTTTTCTACTCCTTACATGTCCATAGTGTATGTTTGTGTTTTTTAATCAAAATGAGATATCTTGTACATTCTTTTTGGTACCTGTTCTTTTGTAACTAATGATCTCTATCATTTTCATTTTAGTAAAAATTTTATTATTAAAGTACTTTAAAAATAATCTTTTACAGTATTGTCACTATGTTGCTGGACTGGTGGGAATTGGCCTTTCCCGTCTATTCTCGGCCTCAGAGTTAGAAGACCCCGTAGTTGGTGAAGACATAGAGTGTGCCAACTCTATGGGCCTGTTTCTGCAGAAAACAAACATCATTCGTGATTATCTGGAAGATCAGCAAGATGGAAGAGAGTTCTGGCCTCAAGAGGTAACAAATCCAGGGGACTTGGGGGAAAATAATTTTAAACACTGTCTGAAAACAAACTGCGTTAAACCCTTTTGATTGCAAGTGACAGAAATGCAAATCAAAGTACCTTAAGCAACATTAAGAGAATGGATAAAGTAGGTTAAGATTTAGTTTGCTTCATGTAGGTAGACTGGCTGAATCCAGGAGTTCAGACCATGTAATCAGGCACTGTGCCCTTCCTCTCTCTTCGCAGGCATTCTCCAAGTGGTGGATATAATAGCCCATGACACAACCTACTAGCTTAAAAAAGTTCTTAGGAAGGTTCAGTTCACCGGGCTTGGTTCCTGTGCCTGTCCCTTCATCAGTTACTAGAGCCAGAGGGCTGAGTACTCTGTCCAGACCCGGATTATATCTGCCCAACACATAGAATGGATTACCCCCAAGCAAGAAGAATTCTAGATCAAGAAGAGGGAAAGGATGCTAGACAGGCAGAAACTACAGATGCTCATTTTTTTAAAATATATTTTTATTGATTTTCTTTTTAGAGAGGAAGGGAGAAGAGAGAGAGAGAAACATTGATGAAAGAGAAACATCTCCCGGCCGGGCTTGGCTCAACGGTTGAGCGTCGCCCTAGGATCCAGGCAATCGGGGATCAATTCCCGGTCAGGGCACATGCCCCGGTTGTGGGCTCAATCCCCAGTGGGGGTGTGCAGGAGGCAGCTGATCAATGACACTCTCATCATTGATGTTTCTATCTCTCTCTCTCCCTCTCCTTTCCTCTCTCTGAAATCAATAAAGATATTTTTTTTAAAAAGAAAAGAGAAACATCAATTAGCTGCCTCCTGCATGCCCCCTACTGGGATCGTGCCTGCAACCCAGGCATGTGCCCTGCCTGCACTTACTGTCCCAAAGGAGCACTTTCCCTACTACTTAATATACCCTTAGGTTGTGATTAGACCGTGACTTGTAGTCATAAATAGCCGTTGGGTGTAGCATAAAACGTACTTGATCTTGGTGAAAGATGAGTTAGCAGCTAAAGATTTTACTGTGTATCACAAAGATCCTTTCATATTGCTTGTACATTTTTCCTCTGTGCTCATCTTGACTTGTTTCCTGGTCTTTTTATCTGTCTAGGTTTGGAGCAAGTATGTTAAGAAGTTGGGTGATTTTGCTAAGCCAGAGAATGTAGACTTGGCTGTGCAGTGCCTGAATGAGCTTATAACCAATGCACTACGCCACATTCCAGATGTCATCACCTACCTTTCCAGGCTTCGAAACCAAAGTGTGTTTAACTTTTGTGCGATTCCGCAGGTATGGGCTAGAGCTGTGCTTGTGTGTGGGAGATGGACGTTAAAGGGAGTGGTGTGGCGGTTATGCTGGGGTGGGTAGAATGCACCCACTATTTTGGTTGCTGTGTTCAGGAATATGGTTCTTTGAAAAGATGACTATAGTTGATTTTCTTTGGCTGGGGGGCAGGCAGTGTTTCGCAGTACCTCCCCTTTGCCTGAAAATCACCACACTCAGCTAAGCCTCAAGGTGAAGTCTGTTCCTTTTCTAAATTTATGGCGAGTGCTCAGTAGGTGAAGCTGTTATCATTAAAAAGTCTTAATTAAGCACCTGAAATTTGCTGTCCTTTTCTCTTTTTTAAATATATCTTTATTGATTTCAGAGAGAGGAAAGGAGAGGGAGAGATAGAAACATCAATGATGAAATAGTCATTGATTGAGCCCGCAACCCGGGCATGTGCCCTGACCGGGAATCGAACCCCAATTGCCTGGATCCTAGGTCGATGCTCAACCGCTGAGCCACACCCGGCCGGGCTGCTGTCCTTTTCTTAGACTCAGGCTAACAGAACCTGATCCTATGGACCTACCCCCTTGATATTTTTAGGAACTTATACTTTTAAAATGCCTTTACCAATTTCAGTTTTTGACTCAACTAAGTGAATAAATTGGATTTAACTGATTTGGAAACTTGGTTTGATCTTGTTCTGATAGCCAACCTTGAATGGTTGTTGGAACTAAGACCTGTATGCCTGAATATATAATGATTATGTTCATTGTAGGACAAAATGGAAAAAAACAAAATAGAAAGATCTTATCAGGTATTAGTGTTTTTGAGATTATTTTTCAGATCTAATAACTCATTGGTCTAACATGGACAATGTTGCACTGGCTTGTGTTTGTTTTTTTCCAAATAAAAAAGAACTTTTGTAGCTAAACTATAGAATCACTTAAGACTGCAATGACCACTCAGTTGTTCTCTGTTGTTGAGAAAGGGAGGAGTGGGAAAGGTAAAGTCTTGACATGCTTTCTTCATGGGAATCTTTTCTTGGTTAGTTTCATCTTAGCTCTTTCTCATTCTGTGGGATAATGATGATTATGATTGCCTACAGTGCCATTTCTTTTGTTTTATGAAATGAAATGAAGTAGTGTTTTTTTCCTTTCTCCTTATTATCTGTAGGTAATGGCCATTGCTACTTTGGCTGCCTGTTATAATAATCAGCAGGTGTTCAAAGGGGTAGTGAAGATTCGAAAAGGACAAGCAGTAACCCTAATGATGGATGCCACCAACATGCCAGCTGTCAAAGCTATAATATACCAGTACATGGAAGAGGTGGGTTGTTATTGAACTACCTGGATAATCTGTAGCAATTTTTATGACTTAAATAGTGTTCACTTATTTAAACATGTCATATTTGGATATTAGATAATCCTAACAACTCACTGTGTGATGACCTAAAGAGATAGGAGTTGGTGGCCTTTATTAGGAAAAAGGTGTGTGTACACAGGGAGCTGAGTGTTTAGAGCTGCACAGAACTCTGGTGAGAGGCATTAAATGAAGCAAGGCAGAAACTCCTATGTAGAATCATTTTTTGAGCTAGGAGATGATGTTAGAGGCCAACCAAGCCTCTGGTTTACAGGTGAGAAGTGTAACGCTGAGGCTTGTGTATGCTAATGCATTGTCTGACTGAGCAGTTCTTGGAGCCCAGTCCTTATTCCCTGATACCAGTCAGTACTTGCCATTACATCATGGACCTCAATTGAGAAACCACAGTAAGGAATTTTGGCAAAGGAAAATCATCAAGTTATAATTATTTCTAAGTTTTCTAATACAAATCCCATTTCGAATGCCAAAACCATCCTGTAGTACAAAACATGCTGGTTTAAATCAAATCTCTACTAAAATATGACTAGGTTCAAAAGAACATTTTTTTTTAGAGGCTAGAACTGTAATCACTAGGCCCTAGAGTAGTGGTCCTCAAACAGAGGTGATTTTGCTTCCCCCAGGGGACATTTGGCAACATCTGGAGACATTTTTTGTTATCACAACTGGGGGTTGGGGGGCTACTGCCATCTAGAGAATGGAGGCCTCAAGATCCTTAGGTATGTTCTTTTTGAAAATTGAAATACTACAGAAGTATTTGAAAACATAAAATGATTCCTCCCTTCCCAGAGATCACCTCTGTCAATAATTTTCTGCATCCTTCCAGTCCCCTGGTTATGCCTTTACAGTGATGTGATTTGTAACAGCGGGTTCATCCAAACAAAATTACACAAATGATTATTTCTTCTGATGTCTATTGCACATACCCCTTGTATTTCCTCCCAGTGTTTTATCTGACAACTTTTAGACCTCAGCATTTATACCAGAGGCACCTGTAGAAGGTGTAAGAGAAGACCAAATTTTTTTTTAACCCTAAAATTCTCCTAATGACTGGATGAAAGTGTTCAGCCATTGACCAAAATATTGCTGCCGTCAAGACTTGGGACAATCCAGTTCACCAAACACGCAGCACTTATCTGCGGTTTACTGTGTGCCTGGCATAGCTACTGAATAGGCTGGTGCTATTAAGAGCGAGGAAACTTGAGGCCCTAACCCTGCTGGATCCATAATTTGGACAAAGGTCTTGTTGACCAAAGCATATTCTGTTCATGATTCTAAGGGGTTGAATTAACCTTTTGACACTGGATACATTTGGCCCTCCATATCCTCAGGTTCCACATATGGGATTTAACCAACCACAGATAAAAAATAGGGGAAAAAAGTCATGTTGTTGCTGATACGTGCTGTGTAGTTAAATCTATGATGGATGTGTCTGTACTGAAGATGTTACAGACTTTTTCCTGTTGTCATTATTGCTTAATACAGTATAACAACTATTTTTATTATGTTAGGTATTATAAATAATCTAGAGATTATTTAAAGTGAAACAGGAGGATGTGTAAATACTGTGCCATTTTATATAAGGGACTTGAGTATCCTTGGACTTTGGTCTCCTTGCAGGGTCCTGGAATCCACTGCATATACCAAGGGATGACTGACTATAATGCCATTCTAGGCACTATTTCTCCATTTTATATGGATTTAGGAACATCTTATGTAGTGTGTAGTTCAGGGAACATTTTAGTTTTGCAGTTTTATTTTGACCACTAATTTTAGAAAACCATTTTTTAAAATGCTGGAGGCAGTTCTGTATTAAAAATTCAGATTTTATTTGGTATTTTCCTTAACTATTGGAATAAAATCCTAGTTGTGATTCACAGTTGGATTTAGGGTAAAGGTGGGCCAGCCATGGCTGGCTGACCTCATTTTTATAAATAACTTTTATTAGAACAAAGCCACACCGGTTGGTTTACGTATTGTCTGGCTGCTGGTAAAACACAGTGGCAGAATGGAGTAGCTGCAGCAGTGTAACCCACAAAGCTGAAAATATTTTTTAGTTCTCTCAAAAAATTTGCTGGCCTCTGATTTAGGGCATCACTTATTTTGTTTAAAGTAATCTGAGTATTATATTTATATGACATTTTATACATTTTTATATGTAGGCTTATAAGAATATAGTGAGAGTAGGTGTAAAAGTAACTACACTAGCCCTGGCCAGTTTGGCTCAGTGGTTAGAGTTGGCCACGGACCAAAGGGTCACGGGTTTGATTCCTGGTCAAGGGCACGTACCTGGGTTTGCAGGGTCGATCCCTGCCCTGGTTGGGGTGAGTGCGGGTCTAACATTGATGTTTCTGTTTCTCTGTCTCCCCCCTGCACCTCCCTCCCTTCCTTCTCCTCTCTAAAAAATCAATGGAAAAATATCCTCAGGTGAGGATTAACAAACAAACAAAAAGTAACTATACCAGCCTGTGCTGAAGAGGAGTAGTGTAAGGGAATTTTGACTTTTTTTTTTTTTTTTTTAATATATTTTTACTGATTTCAGAGAGAGGAAAGGAGAGGGAGAGAGAGGGACAGAAACATCAGTGATGAGAGAGTCATTGATCGGCTGCCTCCTGCACGCCCCCGACTGGGGATCGAGCCCGCAACCCGGGCATGTGCCCTGACTGGGAACTGAACCCGATCGCCTGGATCCTAGGGCGATGCTTAACCTCTGAGCCACGCCCGGCCGGGCGGGAATTTTGACTTTTTATTTTATTTTTGTATTCCTTATTTTTACAAGTATAATTCCATCATCTAAGTTTTTCTGAAGAAGTTTTAGTTTCATCCACATCTCCGTTTTCTCTCTATAGTTCTTTGTAGCATAATATTAGACATTAGATACTGACACCGCTTGCATATTCTTGTGGGCATATTCTTTTCTTTGTTATATGAAATTGCAGCTGTGCTTCTTGAGGGGAAGAGAAAGGTGGCAAGAATAAATATTTGTGGGGGGAAATACCCATTATATAATGAAAATTTTGGAAAACAATTATTTTTTAAAATGCCTTCTCTGTCCTCTTCATCCACCGCCCACATCTCAGCTCAGATCATCATCACGTCTCATCTTAGTAACCTCCTAACGGTTTGTCCGTTTGAGTGAGTGAACACTTATGGAGCGAGGGCCTACTGTGTGCCAGGCACAGTGCTAGGCTAGGGATAAGAAGATAAATAAGACGAGGTGCTTTTAAGCTTGCAGTCCAGTTAGGGAGACATACAAATAGATGATTTCAATGTAAGGTAAGGTAGGAGTATGTACAGGAGAGTGGCACTTGGCCCAACCTGGGGTTCAAGTCAAGTTTTCTAGAAGACGTAATACTAAAGTTGAGTCTTGGGTGTTAGGTAAGAGTTAGGCAGGTGAAGGAATGTGGGAGCAGCCTTCTGGCAGAGGGAGTGGTGTAAGCAAAGAAAGGAACAGCATGTAGTAGTAGCCCATGTGTAAAACAACACAGGCTGTTGTTGAGTGCGAAGAGGGCGGTTAAGGCAGGCCAAGGTCATGGTGGCCTTGTGTTCCATCAGGAACTCAGACCTTACTCAGCTGGTGATAAGGGAGCCACTGAGGTTGTCAAGTGGAAGTTTTAGATCTCTTTGACAGTGTGGAGAACAGGTAAGTGGATTTTGGGAGTCAAACATAGAGGCAGGAGCTCAATTTGGAGGCTGGTATAGCTCAGATGAGGATTACGGCGGGGGGGGGGGG